TTTCTATTCCTACTTTCTACACTTCACCACATCATGGAATGTGCCAACAGGAAGTTATTTGACTTTTTTTTTAACTGGGCTTGCCGTGTATTATTTTAATTTGAATACATTTGGCTCTGTAAATTTTATATCGGTTTCATGGTAATAAAATATGTGCAACCAGCTGATTTTGCTCGGATTCTTCAAGAATTATCTGATGAAGAAAAGGAAGACAAGGAAACCTTTGGATGGGAAAAACAATAGCGATATCCATTCCTTATTTTCTTTCATTTCTATTCTTTAGAAATAAATTAAAACATTATAGTTTAAAGTGCGTTTTCGTAACCAGTAAGAAGTAAATTTCCTTGCAGAACTAAGTAATGCTAAACTTACTTTAGCATTACTTAGTTCCTACCAAGGTGTTTTCCTTTTTTATTGCCTATACTCATCTTTGATGAATATTAAAATTAGCTTCGATTTTAAAATATATTATTAAATAATAAATTTAAAATGTTCTATAATAAAATACATCATTGCATTTCCATCTGACTAACACAAGAACTTAAAATTAATTTACTTATTTTTGAATGTGATATCATTTGCATTTTGAAATAATAAGATTAATATTTTATTTCTTAACACATTTATTATGAATATTCACTCATTTCTGTCGTTTCTCGTGCCAAAATCGATAAAATAACGGATGCCGTAAAAATACGACGCGCGCGTGCTCATGTAAAATTGCCAAGCGCTCGTGCTGGAAGGTTAATAAAGCGCCCGGCCATTATTAGAAATATTCTTTACTTTTCATTCACGCCATAAATGCTGGCTGGTTTTGTAAGCACAGGTGGTGGCTTGTGTTAATTTATGTGATTAATAAAAGGATCTTTTACACCATTTCCTATGTCTCTGTTATAATTTCCAAGACATAGCGATAATTCGCTTAGAGTCTGTATTTTACTATATGTTTTTTAAGAAAGTGAGACTCTATAATTTCTCATTTTTAATGAATGCAAATAATATTCCGTGTTGGCTGTTAGCCAATACAAAAGCCTGCCAGTGTTTTCTAAAATTTAAATTCTGTAAGATTTTATGCATAAGATCTCCGTTTTGTAAAAATTTAAATTGATAACCTTTTCCTAATAATCAGCTTAGAAATGCTAGTCACTTAATCTCTTAATATCAGATATTTTTTTCAAAACTAATATTTTACTTTTAGTAATGTGCACATGTAAACATTTCTCTCTTTAATTTGTTTACGGCCCGTAAATAGGATGCCCAAATTTAATATAAAATATCTCGGTTAAGATTTGTCGCACGGCTGTCAAATATTTCGTGTTTCAGGTTTTTATAACGACTACAAATTTTCTTAACTATAAGTATAGGGATCGGAGAAAAGTATGAAGAGTTAAATTTCGTATTTTATACAAAATTATATTTTGAAATTTAAACATACTGAAACAGGAATGTTTGTGTTATTTAAAATAATTTATGTTAGTGGAGTTATATGTCTACGACCGAACGGTTGCGAAAATAAACGCCGAATAAAGACTTTTATGGACACGGTTTATATATTTCAAGCTGGCTGCAGTTTATCAAGTAAAGCAAAGCAATTTCTGTTCATTACGGTAAGAATGCGATAAAAGAGAAATTATTAAGACTTATTATGGTTAAGGGTAAGACTTTTCAAAAGTATAAAAACTTAACTACTATTTTCTGCGTCGGTATTAAGGGAAGAAAGTTTGCATTGAGATGCAGTCAGAGTATTTTGGCAAATAGAGTGTTTACTAAAACTTTAATCATAGGTCTATATAACCCAACTGATTTACGTATCATACTGCCAGAAAAACTGATCATAATGCAACAAATGTGGATCGAATGTGAAGAAAATGCGTATAAAAGGGTTTATGGCTCCTTTTGGTATAACAGTACAGAACTAAATAAAAGTATATGGAGCAATGATCTTCAAAATAGGGGTCGCGATCCAATTTGCAATTATTTGATATTATTATTATGAGAGAAATTATTTGGGTTGCAGAAATGCTGCATAACAGGGGTCCAGACATTTTACAAAATGTGTATTCCTGAGAATTTCGGATCGCCAGCGTACCTAAAACTGATACAAACACGTGCACTTGAGGCATCCACAGATGGCGGCATACACAGACTTTCCAGCAACTACGCAGAAAATGTCTTATCGGATAGCTAATCCATTTCAAAGACTGTCATTGTCTAGAATGGTTATCAGGACTTGTATGTCTCTTGATATGCTTTGGGAATATGACGTGTCCTGAATGGGACGTTATGTTCAAATATGTGTGGAATGGACGACACAAGCAGGAAGCCCTTTATTTTATTTACCCTTATTTTCCACGATATTACAGGTGCTCCCGCACTTCTGGATACAGAGACTAACCACTTGTGGTCTGAACATAAAAAAAAATACGAAACTACTAACTAATATTTTAAATAAGAGCTGAATTTGAATACTTTACACAAATGACTTTTATTTAAATTATTACGTACGTAGTACGCAAACTTCTTAAAACTGCAATACGTTTTAAATATCGTGAGGACTAAACCTCAGGCCTTAAAGGCAGACAGTAGCTGATTGAAAACTCATGCGGAATGCAGTGGCAAAGAGGCTCACTTTCTCTCCATCTAACTCCGTTCTTGGTGAAAAGCCATAACTTAAATACTTATGTAAGTACAAATTTGCATAAACAAATTAACGCTTTTAATTCTTGCCGGAAGTGGAAAATAAGAGAGGACAGTATAGTTTTAAAACAAAATAAACGTTAGTAAAATTTAAGCTCCTTACACATGGTAACATAGTTTTCACACGACAGCAGCTACTGTTGCATTTGGAATAAAAACAAAATTCTAGGTTTATAAAGATCAAACCTTATTTGTACATGTTATCGAATGTTGTATTGTTACAGGAGAGAAATTTTAATTTTAGAAAGACGCACAAAGCCTCTCCGCAAACATTAACCATATTCAAATTGATTATTCATTCTGATTCTGAAGTGCATTACTCAGATAAACAATTAAAATACACAACATTAATATTTCCAAGTAATCCCTTTACTAGTTGATCAGAATTATCATTTCACTTCCAAATAATTCATATTAATCGTCTTTGCTATAAATGCAATATTTGATCGATATTAAGTACCTGGACGAAATACTAAGAAATATGCAATTGCATTATTATAACGAGCGAAATTACCACCCCATTACCGTTCGAACGCTCCATTATAAATCGATCATCATTATTATTAATATTCGCTCATTTAGCATCTACATACAGTTAAACAGATACCGGATGAATAGCATCAATAATGCATAAGCTTCAAAATTATAACTAGAAGAATTTATTATTTGAAGGAACTATTGAACTAGTCATTTAAAGGAACAGTTTTCAAGGATTTCAACGATGTTGGCCGAAATGAATACATTTGTGAATGCAATTTTATGTTTTTAAAGTTATGATGTATTTCTCCCTCCCTTCTGCATGCCTTCGTGATGTAAAGGTAGCACATTTAGCGCATATTTGAGAGGTTCAGGTTCCAGTCCCGGAGAGGGCAATGCTCATTTTTCAAGTCTCTTGCTTCAAAAAATAATCTAATGACTCTACAATGGCACCGAAATTAAAAAAAAAAAAAAAAAAAGAGTGTTGGGTGAGGATTCATCACGACCAGGATTTAGCAATTAGAGGTGCCCTAATCCCCAGTCGTCCCTTAAAAGGGGAAGTACGTATGGTATTATCTCCCTCCTTTCTGTATGCCTTCGTGCTGTAACGGTAGCACACTCGGCGCCTATTCGAGAGGTCCAGGTTTCCAGGTTCAAGTACAGGCGAAGGCAATGTACACTTTTCATGTCATCTCTTTTAAAACAACGTGATGATTCTACAAGGTTAATAGTTATAAATGGTAATCGGAACATACATTTGAGGAAAAGCGCGGGTATTTCGCTTTACATATACATCCGCACAAGTAATATTTTCAAAGAGTGCACTTCATATATAGCACTTATATGTGTACTACTTTCATATGTTTGGCTTTTTAAGGGACTGATGATTTTCTCCCACAGCGCTACGTATTTTTGGTCGGACTGTACCCTATATGATTCCCCGTGGGTCAACTGGGGGCAACTCCAGGCACTCTGGCTAGAACCTGTACCTAGACAGACTTGACTTCTGGGGTAAATAATCAGTCTTTACAGTGACTAGAACCATTGTTTATTCGGTGGTAGATTCAGGATCGGCAGATACTGTTTCGTCTATCCTTGGTTGTGGGGGCGCTACATGTTTATATATAGAAGGTTGTTCTGAGATACGTTCAGTCATTTCAATCAGTGACTGGTGTTGCATATGGTGGTGGCGTGTAGATACGTAAACATTGTTCCCATTTATCATATTTCCTTTTTGAACAACAGCAACAAAAAATGAGAAGCACGTTTTAAAAGGAATTACATATCATAATGTGCGCAATCTTCAGCCTTTCTTCATCATATTTGCATCTTTTTATATTGTTATCGTTATGAGATTGATAAAAGAGAGATAAGCGACGATATGTTAGTTTCACAGGGAGAAAAAGCAGTAAAATGTGATGCTTTCAAGAAAGTTATGATTGCCTAAAGGAATTCAGTTTGCTTTCTCTTGATTCGCTAAAGCGTTTCTATAAGTTATTTGGGTCACATCGTCATGCAAAAATCATATGACATAAATTTATATGAAAATGATGCAATTCAGGAATTTATCATAAGCAGTTACTAGTTTAGGACAGAAAGGAGAAGTACCCAAATCAAAAGAGAGAGTTAGGTGACTACTGTAAATTAAAATTTTGCTTTATATATTTTTTATCTTACATATATATCAATAAAATACAGTAGCTGAAAATAATCTTATAATTAAGTTTAATGAATTAATAATGCAAAAAAATTATTAAAAATATAATATTTTCTTAAACTGGTTAAATCATTTTCTTGAAGCAAAATATTCCATATTTCCTACTAACCTAAGAGTATTCTTTGGCAGTTTCCATTCAGATCTCTAAAACCTGTATGGCATGCACACATCTTTCGTCCATATCTGTCGAAAGAGCAATTTCCACCGCGTCCACAACTGCATTCTGTGAATAGTATACGAATAGGTAAAAGTGGAATGATTATTAATGTTTATAGAAAGAAAAAAAGGTATAACAAAATTTTATGTATCGTATTATTTAAGCGGACACGTTAAATCTAACGCACAGGTTATGATAATGAACTGTTTAAGTGATATTAGAAAAATATTGTTTCATGAACTGAAATTTGGAAAACAAAACAATCTGTAATCACGTCCTTTAGGAAATTCTGCATTTAAATCTTTTAGGAAAGATTTTTTAAATAAATTAAAATCTCTTTAAATGCATTTTCGAATGCTTTTGCTAAAGCTATAACTTTTATTTCAAATGCTTAACTGTTTATTTGGAGATGACATAGCTTATTTTCGATACCAAGAATACTAAAGGTGGTATATCTGCTCAAGAAATACATAGTGTTTTCATCAATATCCTCACTTGTTAAAATGATATTCACTGAATTTAAGAAGAATAGCCAATCACTGGCTGATTTTTATTAGTTTATGTTCATTCAGTACTGCAATTATAATATTATAAGAATCTAAATAAATTTAAATATTGTTATTTAATTTAAATCTATAAGATATTTTGTACAAATTAAGGTGAATATAAGGAAGAAATAATAATAGTAGCATCCTAAATTAAAGATTTTCTGCAGATTTTCTACAGAAAGCCATTCTTAAATCAAGATTGTAATTAATCTGATAAAACGTCTAAGTGAATTAAATTTTCAACCTGATATGTATTTAACCCCCCCTTCCAATGGTAAATATGTTATTTGTACTAACTCAAAACGACGTCAATCTTTTATGGCTTATGACAAATGTATAACTTTTAAACTTTTCGGTTTAAGTTACAGAAAACAGTTCTTAAATTGAGAACGTCGTTAAATCGGGTTCGATTACTTAAACAGACTTTAACCTGCTAGATTTATTGGTTATGGAAATTAGAAAATGTCTAGATTTAATAACTTTTAGAATGGAAATGTGAATTTTATCCTGGCATGTGTACTAGTATGTAAGCTGCACATCTCCAGCTTAAAGACACAAGAGATAATGAAGCCATAGGCAAACCACATCTTTGAAAATGCAAAGGGTGGTTCTGTAGAAGAAATTTATATATACATATATTGTAACTGAAACTTCGGTAAAAAATAAAGTGCTAATTCAGCTATTTGTATTTCAGTGAAGTAAATGAGTTATGCCAAAATGTAGATGCAAAATACATACAGTTTGAAGAAAATTAAAGACAAGCTATTATAACTAATATTTACATAATTTCAGACATCAGAAGCAGCATATTAAATCAGTTTCAGAATGGTTCTTAAAACGACTGACTATATTGAAGCTCTTAGCAGAAGGCATGTGGGGTAGTTCCCGCTCCACTCTCAGTATTACTTACCAAAACTTTACATCGCCTCTTTTAACGCACTATTTGGAACCATTTATAATAGTCGCAAATTCTTTACTTATAAACTAGGAAGTCTACAGGACCAAGCGTTAAGGCTTATTATTGGGGCAGTAAAATTCACGTCTATTGATACAATGTTGTTTTGGACAAATAAAATAATTAAAAATATTATTCAAGAAAGAGTTTCAATACTTTACAAAAAACATATTAGACTTGAAGGTACTTTTTAAAGGAATTATCAACTTGAAAATAGAAACATCAAGACCCACAATTGCCATGGAACTGATGGGTTACAGGAAAAGTTAAGTTTAACTCAGTTCATATCAAAAAAAGGATACTTCGCCGGATGTACTAAAATGTATCGCTTTAGAGACTTTTGAGATTAAATGTCTTAAAAATGAGTGACTGTGTGTTTATACAGATGAATAACAGCTTTATGAGAATGTTGGAGCCAGTGTTTTCTTGAAAGTTATTTTCCTTCTATACACCAGTTGGAAAGTATGGTACTGCCTCAGTAGATTATGAAGTAGAGGCGATCCATATCGCACTAAATTAGTTAACTTGCCATCTGAGTAGAATTAAAAATGCAGTATTACTGTCAGATTCACAGACTACTATTCAGTCCATCAGTTTCCTTTTGGATCCACTATCATGAGAGAGCTTCGAGTGTCAGAAATTCTGATTTCATTGAGATCTTGGCATAAACGTAGTGTTTTGCAGTGGACCCTTGGCTATTGTAATTTACATAGCAACGATCAGGCGGATTTTCTTTGCCTAAAAGGGCGCGATGCTGATGCACTGTATAAAACGGTAAACTTCTTTCCTTAATTCTAAACTATCTATGAAACAATTTATGAGTCAATATACCAGGATGCCTTCTGTGCAAACTTAATAACAAACCTGTAAAACCAACTATGGAAACAAAATCTGTTTTATATGTGCTTCATGAACCAAGACGGTAGGCAGTGGATGCTTTACGACTATTTACTAGGCATGATTGCAGGCTGCTCGTTTTTTTTTTTTTTTTTTTTTTTTTTTTTTCTGTGTCGTATTAGTGTTCTGACTGATGCTGCCTGTTCCATGTACTACGAAAAAAAAAAAAAAAAAGTCTATGTTCCAACATCACCTGCGTTTCTGCCCGAGCTCTCTATAGATATACTGATGCTTCTAGACATTGAGAGGCTAAAAGTCTCTTGGGGCAATAACCTCCGGTTTATATCTAAAACTTTCTGATGTTGTTTTCACTACTTGTGTTTATTCTTGCTTTTTTTTTTCTTACCACATGTTTTACTCTGTTTCTACTGCTTTCATTAATTGTCATTCCTGCGCACTCATTGAAGTAATTAAATAACAACATAAAAAAGCCTGAAAGCTTTCAGATTTTACATTACGACAAAAGAAGCGTTTTTTAATGTTTCGTGTAATACATTTATTTGTTAAATATCATGTTCTTCGCACTTAAACAATAAAATTCAGTACAACAGCAGTATTTCAAAATAATTTTAAAATGAGCATATCTTTAGAATTTCCGAAACAAAGTTTCGCGCGCTAGAGATGAAAATGTTTTTAGTCCAAAGGGATTTGAATCCAGAAGGACTATTAGTTTCGTTTTGGCATTTTGCGTCGGACTCATAAATGTCGGTTTATTTTTCCAACTGTTGCCACAAAATGTTAGAGTCCTGCATTATATTTGAAGAAATTAAATAATGAAAAATCTGCATAAATGTATGTATATTTCTCGTATTGTGATAAAACAACGGTACATAGAGTCATCGAATTTTGAATAAACGTAATCCTCCAACGAATATGAGCATGTGGAAGACCCAAATTTGAAATTTGAAATTTGTTTTATGATCGATTTCCTATTTTTTAAAACTTTGACGAATTTTTTTTGATTAACAAACTCAAGGATTTCAAAGCGAGCAAATGGCAAACGTTGTGCAGAAAAAACATTTTTATCTCCAGCGCGTGAGTCTCTGTATCGGAAATTCTAAAGATATGCTCGTTTTAAAACTATTTTGCGATATTGCTGTTGCACTGGATCTTATGGTTTAAGTGCGAGGAACATGATATTTAATAAAGAAAGCTAACACACAAAATGTTAAAAAAACGCCCCTTTGGACGTAATTTAAAATCTGAAACATTTCAGATTTTGTTTTTTTATTATTTTTTTTAAATTTCGTATAGTGTTGCCATTGCTTGTTTTGAAATCGTTGACTTTGTTTATCAAAAATTCGTTAAAAGTCTTACAAAATATGAAATATATAGTAAAATAAACTCCAAATTCGGGCTTACAGATGCCCATATTAGGATGGAAATGTACGCTATTCAAAATTTGATGGCTCTAAGCACCATTGTTTTATTACAATGCAAAAAACATACATACATTTATGCAAATTCTTCATTATTTAATTTATTTAAATATAATACAGGGCTCTAATATTTGGTGGCAACAATTTGAAAAGTGAATCGACATTTAAAATTTTCAACGCAAAATGCCAAAACGAAATTAATAGCCCTTTGGGATAAAAAGTAACAAAAATAAAACAGAATAAAAGCATAAATTCAGCCAGTTTCATAATATTAGATTTCTGAACTCTACCTTAGTCTTAGAATTTTCATTTGCATAATATTACTAACTATGCATATTCCATTAAGTTCTCTAAATGCCTTACTACACATGCACTTTTTTGTTCCATTCCTATCAAACAAACACATTGCATAATGTCCAGAGTCGCATACAGTAAAATGAGGATAAAAATATAAAATTGAAATAGTTGTTTACACGACAGGAAAAATAAAGGAGACATGTAATACGTGATCTTAGGAAAATTTGTTTTATTAATTAAAACATATTATTTCACTATATTGTTAAGTAAATATATTATTAAAAGATGGCATACCTTTGCACTAGCTATGTTATATGAGGCAAGAAAAATCTTTCATTATTCGCAATAATATCCCAAAGTTTCCAAAGGTTGCAATTGGGGATTAAAATATGATTTAATAATTTTTATAACGTGCAAGTAATGTATACAGTGGGCATGAACCAATATCATTCTACACAAGCACGTTAAATGTAGCATTAAAAATTATTTAATAGGAGTGCATTGCTCAAACTGTTGTGAAGTTATATCGATTTTATTTGAAATTCATGGCAATGATCTTTTGCCTCGTGGACTGGTCCGTTGCAAGGACGGTAAGTGTATAGTAGCGTAATGTAAAGTAATGTTCCAAAACTTATTAAAAGATTCCAATAAAGACGTCGATTGCGCGTGAAGAAGTCCTTTTCAGGAATGCTTTAGCCTGCTTAAAACTAATGCTTGACAAAATATATTATATATCTTATTTCACAATATTTTAAATGTTTACAGAATAATTTGAGAATGGTTTTAAAGCAAATCCAGTTTTTCTAGGTAGCTTTCAACCACTGAAAAAAGAACTGCTGCTTAAACCATAGCAAGAATTTGATTCACACCCTTAAACGTGGAAAGGGAAAGCTTCTGAGACTTTTTATCTATAACCTTGTGGAATTAATGGATATTCATTTGTATACTTTTTAATGGACTGAGTATTTTCTCCCATAACTGTATGTATTTGTGGGCAGACTGTAATCTAAACGAGTTAATGCTTTACTAGATAATAATAATGGCACTTGATTTTATCGATAAAAGACGTAAAGTAAGCTAAAATTTATTTATTTGCTAAAAACTGAGAGACATTTTCTATTGGTTCAAAATCTACAAGAAAAAAATGGCTTTTTCGCTTAATTTTGATTTGACCTGTGTAGTAAAATGCAAAATTTACCTCGTTTTCATTTCAACGACTCTCGTTACCATAACACATTACAAGTTACGGAATTAGTTTATTCTTTATCAAGCATTATTGCAAAATTCACCATACGCGTTTTCCGACATTACTTTAACACTTTTTTAAAGAGCTTTTAATGTTAAAACCGTTTCTTTTTTCCTATTATACTTTTATACTTTTTTATACTTTTATCCTATTATTACCTTCGCACCCTCCACTAAATTGTGCAAAACCTTCATTGCAGGAACACTCCTTTTCTCCGAAAACGTCTAAAGCGCATGTTCCATTATTTCCACAATCACATTCTGTAAAAAGAAGCGAAATAGATAAACAATAATACCAGTAGTACAGAAACTTTAATGAGGTATAAAATATTGTCGTAAACAATATCATCATGTTTCAACATTTGGTACAAAATATTGTCATAAACTGCTATAAAGAATGAATAAAAAAGATCTCATGTTCATAAATCGAGTTAACGCTTATTCGTGTTTAATTAAATATTTGACAGTAAAAAAACTGTAAAAACCATTTCAAAATTACTCTTTTTGGCCTTTAAAAAGAGTTATGTATAGTAATTTGGGAACGCTTTTAAACACAATGTAGAGCAATTGTTTTTTTTTTTTTTTTTTTTTTTTTTTTTTTTTTCCAGCTGTATACATGAAAAATGAGCGAAATGCCTTCGCCGAGACTCGAACCTAGAACCTCTTGAATACGTTACACCACGAAGGCGTGCAGAAAGGGTAGAGAAAGTACATTATAACTTTTAAGCACAGTATTTCTAAAATAAATTCACAACAGTTTCGGTTTGAGTATTTGTTTCGGTTTGAGTAGAAACTTTCACTATGCCGATGTTCCGGCTTGATTAGAAACAAACTTTCTCTGCCTCGGAATGGCAACAGTGAGAACTTGACTTTTGATTTGTTATGACACAGCTCTAACGCTGCTCATGAGATGTAACACAAGATTCGATTCTAGATTAGATTAATTTTAGTATTTAATTAATCCTTTTAAATCTAGATTGAGTATTTGATTATAGAATTATAACCGAACCACCGCTTGCAGAAATTTAGATGTGGCATTTAGATACGTCGTTAGATTCATAGTTAGATGCGTAGGCAGCGCCATTCGGTGATTCGATTAGTGTACATTAGTGCGTATATAAACATTTTTGGTGCGACGTGCCGGGAAGCCGGCTAATATTCGAAAATATGGATTCGTAAGTATGGATTAGCACGGTGTGAAGTATGCGAATACTGCAAATAGGTAGGATACGGTTTTTTATTTTAAAGTAATTATGGAACATCCTGTCGCTAAGCTTAAATCGAAACGCAAAGTATTAAGGACCAAGGTACTAAAGAAAAGCGAGATAGAATTAAGCAAAGATGACGTTAGCATAAATGTAATAAAATAAACTTTAGACATATTAAATGAAAAACAAAACTCTGAAGGATTTAAACACTCAAATAGAAAGGAATTTGAAGGTCGCAGAGGATAAATTTGAACTTGAACTTTCATCCGCTCTAGAATATGAAGAAAAAATACAAGTGTTGCAATTTAGAGCAAGGAAAAAATCGAGGAATTACACAAACTGGAAAATTCGGATAAGGAAAGTATGAACATTCCTAATGAAACCGCTATAGATTCCAAACTTAAAAATAATAAAATTATTCGCCTTCCAAAATTGACTATCTCTAAATTTGTTGGTGATTCTAGCAATTGACAGGAATTTTGGAGTCAATTCGAGGCAGCTATCCATAACAATGACTCATTATCGCAAGTAAATAAGTTCAGTTACTTGAAGTCGTTACTAGGTGGGGTAGCTTATAATGCCGTTTCCGGACTTTCGCTTACAAATGAGACTACGATTCAGCTATAAGAATTGTTACTAACAGGTTGGGAGAAAAGATTTGGTACAAATGCTCACATGAATAAACTGTTTAAATGTTTCCTCTGTTAGAAATGAAGGAGTATAGAAAATCTTAGGAATTTATATGATCAGTGTGAAACTCAAATTATATGCTTAAAGTCAATGAACGTGGTAACAGAAACTTACGGTAGTTTACGTTACCCAATATTGTTAAAATTAATTCCATCAGAGATTACATTAGAATACAGTCGCAGTAGAAACAGAGACCAAAGATGGAACGTTAACGAAATGATGGAATTTATTCGTAAAGAAATAGTATTTGTGGTGTATTTAATTATGGCAAAGCACACTAGGGCTATCTGCCTAAGAGGAGGGATGCCTTTCGTGGAGGACTTTCTAAGGGAAACTGGCTCGTATACACGTTACACATGGGGAAAACCACGAAAACACCCATGCAGCCAGCCCGTTCGCGGGATTCGAACCTCGGACCGAACTACCCGTAAAGAAATAGAAATCCACGAAAGTGGAATCGCGCTACGCAGTTAAATGACAGTAGAGACAAAAACAAAACACCGAGCGGGAATGATTCATAACTTGAGACATAAATCAAGCGATCGTCTTCACTCCGCTCACGATAATGTAAACAACACATGCAATAAACAGTTTGAAAAAATTCGCCGAAAAAGTATGAATATATTGCTTCAGTAATGCATATATTGTGACGAACTACACGATTCGGAACGGGGTGAAATTAAAACCGTGGAGGAGAAAGAAATATTTTGAAAGATCAAGCTCGATATTTCTTGCGTCTTAAACTCAGCATAAAATTAGGCAGTGTAAGGAAAGAAAAATGTACGAAATATGTAATAAAAACACAATAGGTCTATTTGTTTCCAACTCGAAACCAAATCGGAGAAAAACAAGGTCGTGTCGACAATTCCATCCAGTAAAGATGATGTTCAGATTAGTCAATTGAAAACCGAAGCTTTCCGCAGTGCATTGCTACAAACGTGCACTGTGATGATACGTCCATTTCCTGATAAGGATAATTTAGAATCAGTTCGTATTATATTAGACAATGAATCGATGAGAATTTTATAATTCGGACATTTCAGAAAGTGTAAATACCTGTTATTCGAAAGGAGACTTTGTCCATATTTGCC